GGACCAGGTTAACTGGCGGAACATGGGAGAGGCCTTTGTTCGGCAGTGGACGTAGTCAGGCTGACGATGATGATGATGACTTAGGACAGATAGTAATCGCAGAACCGAACCACGAGCGTGAAACAACTACAACAATAAGAATGGCGTTGATCTGCATCGAGAATCATTCTTAAATGACGTATGGTAATCTACCGCGAACCCTCAAGAGGAAGATATATAGCAGCTGTATCTTGCCGATACCTCCTATGAAGCAGAGACCTGGAGGCTTACAAAGAGGGTTCAGCTCAAATTGACGACGACGCAGCGAGCGATGGGAAGAACAATGATAGATGTAGCTTAAGAGACACATATCAGAGCAGAGTGGGTCATAAAAAACCGGGGTTAAAGATATAGATGAAATCAAGAAGGAATGGACATGAGCCAGCACGTAGCGCGTAGACAGGATAACCGCTTGACATAAATAGGGACTTACTGGATTTCTTCGAAAGCAAATGCTCGAGGGGGAGACAGAAAGTTAGTAGGGTCGATTGATAGATATATGGGGTTTAATGTCCCAAAACCACCATATGATTATGAGAGGCGCCGTAGTGGAGGGCTCCGGAAATTTAGACCACCTGGGGTTCTTTAACGTGCACCCGAATCTGAGCACACGGGCATACAACATTTCCACCTCCATCGGAAATGCAGCCGCCGCAGCCGGGATTCGAACCCGCGCCCTGCGGGTCAGCAGCCGAGTACCTTAGCCACTAGACCACCGCGGCGGGGCTAGTAGGGTCGAAGAGATGAAAAAGTTCACAGGTATAACTTGACAGCTGAAAGCACAAGACTGCGTTGATTGGCCGATCATGGGAAAGGCCTTTGCTCTGCAGTGGGCGCAGTCAGGCTGAAGTTGATATTTAGCATGATGATGGTGATTCTCGGAGTGCATCTACAAGCTGTAGCCGCTTTTGTTTTACATACATTCAAGATTATGTGCTATAAATATAGTGTAATCCAATCAACTGGTAGCCTAAACTAGCGAGCAATACGGAGTTTTGGTAGAAAAGGTAGTTAACTGAAAGTACAAACACTTTCATGGGGAACGATTTTTGGTACCAACCATAGGTATTGAAGTTGGATTTCTCATCTAGCTAACCCATGGCTTTTTCGTGAGTGGCAAGGGCATGCTTCGAAAGAGTGAATGCCACAATAAGTCGTATTATTTACGGAACACTCACGCCGTCAACTTGAAAACACCATGATGTTTTGATCTATTTTCAACGAGTGTAATATCTGTCACTCCGTTGTGTTGAGCGTCGCACGCTTACTCATCTGGCAAAAGCTGTCGAAGCACTGTCGTTAAACCTAGAAGCTTGGCGCAACGGGCTTTCCTTAGCGCGACCTGCCGTAAAAGGTGAAAAACAAGGAGGGTTACAGCGCTCTTTCGCCTCTCAGGCTTGGCATCCGTTCATTGCGGCTAAGCGCAGGGCGACTAGCTACGTTCAACGATGTGCCGTGGAATCTGCGTCCATAAAAATGCAAACGTCTGGATAGGTCCGCAAAGGCCACGCATGGTTCCATTAGTCTGAGTGACCGTGGTGGCTCTAGAAGCATTAGCCATCCTGTTGTCACTCCTCATGCACAATGCACAATGCGTTTTCCCCAAACCCATTAAGCTTCAGTGACAGGGCTCTGTAGACGGATCCTACAGGATACGTTGTAATATAAACACGTTTTAGCCAGGATTGGCATACGAGTGTCCCTTTACACGTGGCAGACGCCTTCATGTCTGCATGATTTAATTCATGCTGTCGAATATGTATATCTTTTGTACATCTGGTATTGTTTAAACACTCGCCCTGCTAAATTGCATTTTAAGCTGCAGTGAGTACTGCTCACCATGTGTTTCTAGGACGACTCCAAAAGTGTGCGTAAGCGCCTTGTTATTTTAGGACAATTTAGTGCAATACAAAAATACTTAGCGTTGAATACGCACGTCATGATGCACCCACAGGCGTTCAGAAAGTGAAAGTGTAACAACAAAGACCAAGCATTTCCGGAAATCAACCTACAGCTTGCCTGCTGCCTTGCTATGGTTATTTTTGCGTTTGGCTTTTATTGGCCTGCCATAATGATTGAAATGGCGTCATAGTAGCATCGCGTCCAGCGAAAATCACTTGAGCACTCTACAGAAAGGACAAAATGAAACAAGCTCATGAATTGTATTAAGATAAAAATTCAATTGCAAGAGGAAGTATCTGTATGCTGAAAAAGATGTACCCGGAATGCTGCTGTAGATAAAAGAGAGAGAGAGAGATAAAGATGCAAAGAAAGGCGGGGAGGTTAACCAGACGCACATCCGGTTTGCTACCCTGCACTGGGGAAGGAATGAAGGGGAGAAAAGAGGTTGTAGAGAGATAAGGAGGTACACACAATCACGAGCACACTCGGGGGAGCACACACAGTCTACAGGTGGTCGCTCAGGTTTGTTGACCTTGGGCATCTGCCTCAGTAGCCCAGAAAGCGACTAAAGCACTCCTACTTTACCTAAAGTCAACAAACCTGCTGTAGATGAGGTTTTGACAAAAGCGCTTGTCTTTGTCAGGCAGACACCAGCTTTCCTTTCCAGCGTTCATTTCTTTACTTGGCAGGGTTTAGTGCAAGATGATTATCTCATAGGCAAAAGCGCTGCTTTTCTGTGAGATATTTGCAGTGCACGTTGATTGATTACAAAACGTCTACTTTGCCCTGCCGTGGGGATCTAGTGGCTAAGGTACTCGGCTGCTGACCCGCAGGTCGCGGGTTCAAATCCCGGCTGCGGTGGCTGCATTTCCGATGGAAGCGGAAATGTTGTAGGCCCGTGTGCTCAGATTTCGGTGCGCGTTAACGAACCCCAGGTGGTCGAAATTTTCCGGAGCCCTCCACTACGGCGTCTCTCATAATCATATGGTCGTTTTGGGACGTTAAATCCCACATATCACTCAAACGTCTACCTTATTCAAATCGAGAAGCTTCCTGAAGAGTGCGGAGCCCAATATGAATGCGCAAAAATATGTCGTCAAAAAATAATTTCTTGTATTGATAGCCGACTGAAATCTACCCAACAGCCTGCAACGGTCTCATTTTTCGAGTCACGGTACACGGGTACATGTGCTTCTTAACCCGGTGCGGTACTGTGGTATTTGCCTTGTGTTCATTGAAGAGTGATTAAAGCGGATGTCCTAGATACCTTCTGAAGCTTGAGAACTTATCATCGGGGATGCAAAAATAATCGGGTAATGACGCCGTAATATGACGCCAAATGTCGCTTGAGTTTCAGTCGTCATTATGTCGTCATCGTAACGGCAGAAAGTCAAGTTGTCACTTGACTAAGTCACTAAGCCAAGCGTAGGACATTTACGGACACGGTGCTGTAAAATCACATGAGGGGCAAAAAGCATTCGGGAGAGGTTGGGATGGACCAATACGATTGACCAAATGGAAGAAGAGGTACAAGAAATAGAATAAGACCACTTTCGTCTGCGAGTCACCTCAGCAGAATTCATAAGTGACTGTCTCCCTTTATTGCAATGCATACCCTTACCTTACCGCAGTTGAATACTCAAAGCGTTTCTCATACATGCGTAGGACTACTGGAAGTCGAAAGCCATTACATTCTCGCGCTCAGTTGACACACTGTTCCGGCGCCGAAACCTTTCTGCACTTATTCTTGTGGTGCATTTCTTCTGGGATGGGAGGCACCTCTTATTATTTTGCACTGCCTCCATGATAAAGCTGAGATGCTAATGAGGATGTCAATATGTTATGCAATTCTAACGTTATAATGTCAAACCGGTTGTCCCTTTCGTTCTGTCTGCGTCTAAGTAGTGCGCTCTCATTTCAAAACAGTCATAACGATGTCACGGGCTTTTGCGATTTATGAGGTCATCATGACGGCACGTGTTAACGCTATCACCTGACGATTTTTTGCATCACTCGTTTGGACACCGACGTGTGATGCCGACGTGGGACACCGGTCAATTTTCGCGTTTGATGAGGCACCTAGAGCATTTGCCTTGGAAATGCTACTTAGTCCACTTGAATATATGATCGCCGCTGATACCTGCTCAGCAAAAAAATTGTTCAGCTCCGTTTATGAACACACTACAAACCCGAAGTTAGTTTTTATTAGGTATAGAGATAAGTTCGGTAGTTCATAATTACAACTTCGCAGTTTTGCGGGCCTTCTATGAACGAGGAGAAGTTTTTTGAATAAAAAGAGTATTCGAGCTTTATTCATAATATATAGGTTTTTCTGTAGTCTGTAACAGGGGCTCTTCGCACAGCAGCTGCAGCAATGATAATAGGTTGTGGACACCGTACCACGCTTCTCCATGCAATGTGGTCTGTATGCTTGAGTTTCCAGCATAAGCTTGTACGGAATATCAATTGTTTTTGGTAGTGTTTAGTGCATATTGATGGAGGACTCTATGTTTCTTCGTGGCATTTTTGCACCGCTGTTGCTGCCTCACTGAGGTTTCTGCCAAGTGGCCTTAACTGTGTCCTGACTATTGATAGTGCTGGTCGGTTCCGCGCTGGCTGATTGTTTCTATAGTAATAGCCAGAACCATACACTAATACAAGAGTGTTAATGAAATTGAAATATTACACTATTAAAACGTTCCACCCTTGAATGCGCCAGTGTACCCGCAAATTCTTAGATGCTTGTTGTGAGTGAAACCAATGAAACAGAGGAACGCAATGGAGTTCATTTGATTTTCGGCTGTTTGAAGTGTGGCATGCATTGTGCGTGATTTCCGCTTCGCAGCAAGTTATCCTTCCAAAAATTGCTGTTGTACATGAAGAGCGTTCAGGTAGCAAGCTTGAAGGTCCGCAATGCCGAACAAGTTCGGCATCTATAGCCATAAGCGTCCTCGTGAATGAGTGTTTCAAAGCGCCTAATCTAATGCGTTCTGCACAAGTATCTAATTGATGTGAAAAGATAGATAGCTAACTGCGATTTCTTGTTTCTCCTTCAGGTGCGAATCATTTTCAAGACAGATGATTTCTGCTGCCGTGAAAGAAAGGAGGAGGTGACCGGTGTTCGCACCAAAGGAGCTCATGTCCGTACAAGTTCTCCAAGATGACCCGATGGACGCCACGGCGGTGGCGAGTCGAGAGGCGCAGAGGCACTGGCTCTGTCTTTCGAGCAATCAAGGCTCTGTCACTCCTAGTCGCATTGCTTACAGTTGTTTTCTGGACGCATGCTTTTTATCGATTTTCCGGTATTACCGATCAAAACTGGGAAGAAGCTGACGCTATATTTACGCCAGCTACAAAGACGGATTCCACAATCGCTGCCACGCAGGTACGCGTCACATTAAACACCTCTCCCCGTAGGAAATCGCTTCACGAAGTTATCTTGCCATCGCCAGCATCGAAGCCACAGCTGCGCGAAACATTCAAGGAGCAACCGATGAGTTCTGGTGACTGGGTGTTCACCGACACTTACCTTAGAACAAAACTAAAGCTCTTCTTGTACTCTGCGTACTTAGACAACCGCCTCGCCGTGCCCGTGGTTCGGGTTATAGGCGCATACGCCAGCGTAAACGGTGCTCAAGTTTCCTGCAGGCTAGAGTATGCCAGTGGGGAAGCGAGTGTGGTGGCCGCCACGAAGAAGACCATTAATGAGAACTGGAAGCTCAAGTATGGTGCGGCCTTCTTCTTGTGTCCTTATTCCGACGACTCAGACAATCCGCCACCGGTTCGCGTGCGACTCAAGGAGACTTACGAACTGCAGTGGAGTCCTTCAATACCAATATGGCCCCTGGAGACAAGACCTGGTGAAGCGACTGGGCGTTTTGCGGTCTGCGTGAAGCCCCTGCACTACAAGTATGACAGAGTGTCGTGGCTGGCAGAGTTTGTAGAGTTCCACAGAATCGTTGGCGTAGATCGTTTCTTCTTCTACAATCACAGTATAGGAAGCAACGTAGACAGACTGTTGCGTGTGTACATGGAAAAAGGTGTCGTCACGAGCCTTCCGTGGAACCTAGACATCAAGTGAGTTTATGAAGAAGAACAGCGAATGCTTATTTTGAATGGCCTTTGTACACAAGTGCATTTCAAGTGATTGTATTTTATACATTACTTTTAAATGTTCGCTGCTTCGCAGGTTGTCGCATGTGTGAAACCCATTAAGCTTTACGCTGCAGAACATTAAAGTTTTGACTCATGCAGACGTAGTTTTAGTCAGTTTTAAATTTTTAGTTGCATTCCATTGCCGCGCAAACAATGCATTAGGCTGCCGTTTTCTTGAAGTACAGACCATCCTGGTGCTACAATGAATCAATGTGTACGTACAGGTCAATACAGCGAACGGCAAAAGTGTAGGCGCAAGGCACACGTTAGTGCATATTACTGCCTCTTGGGAGAAACGCCTGTTCTTGAAATTTTCATAACAAAAGTCTTACCTTTATTTTCAATCTTTTTTAGGACTCTTTGTTTACTTAGGTTTCTCGCTCATGTAATATCTTGCCACGAAATACCTTTTTTGATATGTTCCATGCCTCAAAAACTAGAACATGGCTTAAGCGCCTAAAATGCTAATGTTTTTGCTTGGTGAATGGTGGCTCTTTTTACTCGCATGTTAGCGAAAGGAAGCTCCAAAACCTCTTCAGTATATGACTAAAAAAGAATGTCAAAAGTCAGTACGTTAGCCATTTCCGTTGGCATGCTCAATTTTTTTTTGAACCGCTAGGTACCATCTCTGCAGTTCTATTGTCCCAGTCTTTTGTGTATCTTTGAAGGGGGGAATTATATTGCTGTGGTGTTCCATCTACTGTCTGATATACCACCATACGAGAAACCATATTCGATTATAAACAAAGTGAGAGCAAGTAATAGCTGAACATCGAACATAACTGAGGCTGTAGCCGATGACTCGCTCCTATAAATGTTTTATGATTTTTACTCGGAACCAATAAAGAACTTCACTGGACATGGGTTATTGGTTTATTAGAGAATACCTAATTGTTTTTCTTTTAGACTTCACCGCATGGGTCACACTCATAAGGGACCTGTTAGTCACCAAATATTTCTGGTTTTTAATTATTCGTTTTTGAGACTTCTTTGAATTTCACAAATACTTTTGTCGTACTTCACTTAGTCCAGAATATAAATGAGAACAGTGTCCCCCATTTTCTTCACTATCTTCCGTGTGATGAAATGGGAGGAGGTGGAGGAAGGGAAGGAAAATGGAAAGGTAGGAAGGTCAAGCAGATGTGCTATCTTACGCTGGGTAAAGGGGATAAGGGGCTATGAAGATAGGATGATAAGGGAACATACAAAAAGGATACACGTGAGCTTAAACTTCATCACGGTGTTCGAGAGTAGCAGAAGCAGCACTTCTGTTGCATCCTGTTCCACTGTGTATCGTGAAGTCATGATGCCTACTGAAGGCTTACAAGCGTGGACAGAGCTGTAAAAAAATGACAAAGTATAATAGCCGCTGGCATGTAGTGAAAAATCTGGCGCTCAATAAAATAAACATGAAAGCCGCCACTGTATAATCGTCATAAAATATTTACAAGTGCATTGGTTCCCCCCATTTTGTTGTAGACGTAGCAGACAAAAATGATGAATTATGCAGAGCCACCTGCAGTGACGGTGATGTAAAAGTTTCACGACGGCTATGGTTCTACGCTTCTGCACTGGGTATTATCATCGCTGCAACCGTGACTCGCAGTCCGAGAAAGACAGACTGTTGGTTGAGCTGGTGAATCACGGTGGAAAGTGCGAAAAAAAAACGTGGCAGAAGACCAAGAAAACTACAGGACAACGCATACTACGAAGAAAGCTTTTACTGAAAAAAAAAGAAAAAATACAGAGAGCAAAACCACGTGTTCATTGCGAACAAAGCTAAAAACCTCAGACGTGCGCATCCATGTACCTTTTTTTTGCCCTGCTTACCGCAAGAGTCGGCTCAGCGACACAGTTTCCTCTAGCTTGTAAAATTAAGAAAGCTTCAACAACCTCACGTGCTGTCTATTTCCTCTGACGTGCGAGCACTTTGGCTTCAGACTGGAGAAGAGTTCGCCTATACGCAGCAACAACCTAGTTTAGGGGGGGGGGAGGATCTTGCTTGTTTAAGACTTTGAAAAACACCTTTGTTCATTTTCCTATCTTGGTGAACCCCCCCCCCCCCCATAATTCTAAAACTTTTTGGCGGTGGGGTGGAGGAGAGGGGCTAGCCCACCCCCCTTGGCTATGGGCCTGTTTACAGCAACGCAAGAGTAAATTTGATAATAGCCTGACCATTCGAAGATAGATGAACTCTATCGTGTTTCCGAAGCGGAATCAAGCTCTGGCATGGATAGTGAACCTCCGCAGAAAGTTCTTCGATTCAATTCCAAGTCGCCTTTTGTTTTATTTGTCCATAGCGTGTGGAACTGCCACGGCTATCTGCGTGGGCGGAATAGAATTGCATTCTAGGGTCACTGTTGTTGCGAGCTTGTAGCGAAAAGTATCTTATATCTCTGAAAAACAACCGATTTGCTTATGTGAGAATAATTCTCTCCTTAGAGTTCTAGGCAACGTTTACAAAGGCGTACCTGATTACGTACTAATGAGCAACTTAATTGAGGTAAGGTGATTTGCTCAAGTTCAAAAAATAGGCTCTCCTGACGGCGGCATGAGAGAGAGAGAGAGAGAAGAGAGAGATAAATAGAGAGGAAAGGCAGGTAGGTAACCAGCTTGCTCGGTTGGCTACACTACACTTGGGGTGAAGGAAAAGGGGAATAATAGAATGAAAAGAGACAGAAAAGAAGAGGAGTAAGAAAGAGAAGCATAAATAGTCAGCTCGAAACTACACAGCACGGCCTCGCACAGTTCTTTCACAAGCGTGGTCGTGAAGTTTGGGGTTCCTTAAAAAGTACAAGAGGGCTGTCGTGGCTTTGCGCGTATGGGAAGCCGTCGGCCAAGGTCCCAGGATCTTCTTCTTCGTAAGCGGCCGTGAATCCAGCTCACAGAGCTTGGCTTCATAATACGTCGTTTGGTCTGATATGCTGGGCAATGACATAGAATGTGCTCAAGCGTTTCCTCGTAGGCGCAGATGTTGCATGCCGAAGTGCTCGCCATTCCAAGGAGACGAGAGTACGAATTCGTAAATGCCACGCCCAACCTCATGCGACACAGTAAGTTTAATGAGTTACACAAATGCGATAGCTCTAAATTATTTACTTAAGTTATTCATTATGGTATCCTCCGCGCCAATAAACTATTCCATAGGCAGGTTATACCGCTGTCACATCAGCCCTTGTAATCGTGATCAACGCGATCCGAATTAGTTTTCTTGATCAGGACCACTGCTACACGGTCCAAGCTAATCTGTTCTAGCTTCGGTCAGAATGAACGCCCCAGGTTGCATTTGCGTGGCGTAAAACATGCGACTGACGAAAATCGGCATACGGTATATCCATAGAGCACTTTATCAGCAATGCTATTCGTTCAAGAACCGCTCAAACATCAAAAACTTTGCGTACAACTACAATGGTAATTTCATAAATCCATCATTCAATAAAATTTTTCTAGTACTTACCTGTATTGCTGTGTGAGATTCTTAACCTTCGCCTTTATTTCTGATGGCCCCTGCTCGTAGCCGTGTAGTCACAGTGAAGCGTCAATCTGGTTGTACGCATCAGTGATTCACTTCTCGCACATCAAGCCTGTTCTAGTCACTCCTGCTAGCGGTCACTTGCTGTAAAGATCTCTTCATTCGACCACGAAGTGCGCGTACGTTGCGACGTAGTCTAAAGGCTTGCGACACTCGTAATTAGTTTGCTTCAAGGGGCTCCGACAGCTTTGTTGGGGCGAAAGTTGAAGTAAGCACTGAAGCACTGGTCGACTGCTTGTCGTCTGCTTGTCGTCTGCTTCTCCCGTAACTACATGTCGTGGACACGAATCCTAAATATATGCACTACTTCAGAGATTGTTTCAATTGAAACAGTATATGATTTGCTTTTTTTATAATACCCAGCCTTTTGAAAGTGTTTTCAATGAACTATTCTTGATTTTCTTGTTTATTGTGCTTTCAACAAGCTCGGTTGGGGGGTGCAGACGAGAGCAAAATCGCGATCTCTCAGGCAGATCGCGATTCGCGTATCGTGATAGTCTTGATCCCGATCACGCCTCATCATAATTAAAGGTGACCGTGTAGCAGCACTTAATCTGGATCGTGGTTAATCCGGATCGACAGTGAATGTATAAAAGTGCCCGTGTGACACGGTATTACATGCTGCATGATCTTGTAGTAATGATATAGGTACAGGCGCTTGTTGCAACAAAATTCATCATCCGATAAAACCACAAACCCAAACACCGAGCACTCATTCGGTGAGTTATATAAATTCGAAAATGCTTAGTAGTAATAATATTTATAATTACATTAACATTTCACTAACATTACACGCTCTCAACTACGCCTTACATTATTAGCATCAAAAGTTGTCAGGCGCTACATGCTACAAACAAGCACATTTATTGAAATATGTCTTCTGAAATATTTTTACTATGAGCTTTTTGCAGCGTTCATCAAATTGTTTGAAACCCTTTTAATCAAGTAACGCTAAGCGACGTCTTTTGTGACATAGAGTAATACCGTAAAGCCAACATTGGCAATTTTTAATAGGCTGACATTTTTTATTACCATGACTTCTATCCTTTTCGTCCAACACTTTTCGAGTTTGCTGCAGTGTGCACCCGACGTTACTTTCCAAAAGCAGGTATTTGTTGGGTTTTGTGTGTTTGCACAATAATGCAAGTACTTTGTATGATTCAGCTGTAGCAAAATGGTATAGTGGTTTCATGGAAATGTTGTTTTGTCACTAATGTCACTATATCACTAATGCTGTATTCTTGGAGTTTTACTATTGTCACGGTGTCGTGATGCTGACAAAGGTAGAGACGACAAAGGTAGAACTTGTGGCCACGTAAAAGAACTGCCAGATTACAGCAAGACACTGGCACACTCATACGGCGGGTAGAGCATCGGCCGTCGATAAACTGACAAGCGGCAAAGCC